GCACGCATGCCAGGCGAGCGCGCTACCGCTGGAGCCACATCCCCAGCCCTATCCTTTAGCTTCTTACTGAAGAACTTCTTTTAACATTTCTTGCAAGGCAGAAGCAGTATAATATTATTTCAACTGAATTTAGGTGAATTGTACATTTATAATGTGAATTTTAGAGAGACCATGGGAAAAATTTATAAGAAGTCTGTTTTATAAACCAAAAGAACAACAACAAAAAATAGAATCCTATAAAAAGCTCAATTAAAACCAGAGAAAGCAAGGGAAAAAAGCCAGTTCAACATAGAGTTAAATAACAATACCTGAAACTCTGAAAGTACTAGAAGAAAATATGTGGAAAATGCCTCAGATGGGTAAGAATATTTTTTGAGGGGGCAAGACCAAACAACTAAAGCAAAAATAGACAAATATATCAAACTAAAAAGCTCCTTCATGGCAAAGAACACAACCATCAGAGTGAAGAGGAAATCTACAAAATGGGAGAAAATATTTCAAAATACATATGTGACAAGAAGTTAATATCCAGAATCTATAAGGGACTCGATATAATAGAAAAAACAAACAAACAAATAAACAAGCAAAAAACCCACAGACAAATAACTAGATAAAAATTGAGCAATTGATCTAAATAAGCATTATTCAAAAGAAGACATATAAAAGCTGTCACCTATATAAAAAATGTTCAACATCATTAATCATTAGGGAAACTGATACCACAAAGAGAAATCATCTTGCTCAGGAAGAATGATTGGAGATTATATATATATACTCGTGAGAATGTAAAGAAAGGGAACACTTGCACACTGTTGGTGATGTTGTGAATGACAGCTATTTATGAAAATCAAGAGCCCCACAACTGAGTATATAGTCAAAGAAAATAAAATCAGTAAGTTGAGAGACATCTGCACTCCCATGTTTATTGCATGGGAGTTCATAATAGACAAGAAACAGAAACAACCAAACTGTCATCAACTGATGACTGATTAAGAAAATGTGCTATATATACACAATGAAATATTATTCAGACATAAAAAGAATGAAATCGTATTATTTGTAGCAATATGTATGGAGCTGGAGATCATTATGTTAAGTGGAATAAGGCACAGAAAGACAAATATTCTCATTCCTTTGTGGAACATAAAAAAGTTGATCTCATGAAGTTGATAGTAGGATGGTGACTGCCAGTGGGTAGGGAGAATAGAGGAATGGATGGGGAGAGATTGATCAATGTGTTCTAAGTTACAGTTAAGACTATACAAAGTTCTGGTGTACTGTGACACAGTGCAGTGACTATAGATAATGTTAACATAGGATGTACTTCAAAAAGCTAGGAAAAAGGATTTTGAATGGTTTTACCATAAAGAAATGATAAGGTTGAGTGTATCTCGATGTTAGAGAGATTATCCAGCATGTGTGAGGCCCTGGGTTTGATTGCCAGCATTACAGAAACAAACAAATAAATAAACAAATAAAATAAACATTTGAGAAAATATATTAAATCTGATTTAAGTATTACAACTATGGACACATATTGAGACATTAATCACATGTACCCCATAAATATGTATGATTTTTATGTTTTTATGTATGAGTTAAAAGTATTAAGAAAATCAGGTTAAATGCATTTTTTTAAAACTTTTTTTTAGTTGTAAGGTAGACACAATACCTTTATTTTATTTATGTGGTGCTGAGGATTGAACCCAGGGCCTCACACATGCAAGATGAGCACTCTACTACTGCGCCCCAGCACCAGCCCTTGAATGCATTTTTATTATTGAGTTGTAATGGTTCTTTATTTATTCTAGATGAAAATTCTTTATATTTTATGTCTCTCAAACACTGGTAGTCTTACCAATGGTCTTATTTATGCACTAATTTCTGTCTCTTTGTTATGATTTGGATGTGAGGTGCCTCCCAAAAGTTCACGTGTGAGACAATGCAAGAAGATTCAGAGAAGAAATGACTGGGTTATGGAGGGTCTTAACCCAATCAGTGAATCCATCCCCTGTTGAGGTTAATGGAGTGATGATTGAAGGTGGATGGGATGTGGCTAGAGGAGGTGGGGCATTGGGGGCATAGCTTTGAGGTATATATTTGTGTCTGGTGAGTGGAGATCTTTCTCTCTCTCTCTACTTCTTGATCATCATGTGAGGGGCTTCCCTCCGCCACACTCTTACACCTTGATATTCAGCCTCACCTCAGCCCTCAGGAATGGAACCAGCCTTCTATGGACTAAGACGTCTGAAACCATAAAACCTTAAATAAACTTTTCCTCCTCTACAATTGTTCTGGTTGAGTCCTTCAGTCTAAGCAGCAAAAAAGCTGACCAAAACATTCTTCCTTTAGAATGCAAGTTTCTTGGGGACAGGGACTTTTGCTTTACTGATTTTAGGATCCATACACCTAGCATAAACTCTCTATAAATGTTTTCTGATGAATCAAAAAATGTATGAATCCTGAGCCTGACAGATAAATCAGAATTTGATGTCCCTTAATGCTGTGGTGTAAAACTGTGAGTTCATTTCAAGCTTATCTTCTTACTTTATCTTACCATCAATCATGATTTTGAAACCTTGGGTAGACTCTGCTTTTCTTTATCCATGTGAAATTATTCTTGTCCTTCAAATCCTGATTTAGATTTTGTCTCCAAGACACTTTCCATGAAGGTCATATTGCTTTTGTTTTTTCTTCCGATGAATGTCAAGTGTATAGATAGTCTTAACAACAGTTTCATGGTTCATTTGATATTTCTGTATTCTTTAAGTGTTTCATAATTTGGTATTGTTTCCCTAACAGAATTATACATTCCTCATAGTTGGGAATGTCTTTTGTATCTATCCAGAAGAGATGATATAAATGAAACTTTTAAGACAAATTATATGATGCTCAGTCTTTAAGTAGGTACATAAATAGTATGGGATAATTTTTCTATGCATATGTTTTTGAATTAGTAAGCTACTTTAACAGCATAGTTCATTTATTTTATATTTATTTATTCCATAATAAGTTTTTATTTTATTTATTGAATGCCTTCTATGTGCCAGGCATTACTTTAGGTACTAATGACACATAAGTGAAGAAAATAACTTTACAACAAAAGTCCTTGTATTTTTTTCAGGATTGACAGGAAAAAAACCCATTTAATAAATAAAATATAACATGAATACATTAGTTAGTCATATTTAAAGTAGGACCTTTGAATTTGAAAGAAAAAGGAAATCACAAGCTTAACTAAAATCTAAGCATTAGGCCTCGAAATCTTATAGGACATTTGCCTTTTATTTTGTTTAGCTTTAGATTCTGTGAACTGTTCAAACCATGAAGTATAAGTATGTGGGGTTAAAAGGGGAAGAAAAAAGTACTGCATTTCCTTCAGTAAATGTAAACAATGAATATGGTCCTTCTCTAACTTGATCGGAACTATCCGTGCTTTATTGCAGGCCACAGAGTTTGATTTAATGCAGTTCTGAAAATTTCATTCTTGGCTTTACATCTGCATACCACCAGGAGGTAATGTTTGTACCTTGAATTGTTTGGGATATGTCCAGTTTGATTATCGCTTTCTTGTGTGCCTTTTCCTGTTCTCCCATAAATTCATTATATCCAAAATGATAAAACAGTCCTCTCAATGTACTTGTCCTCTGGAATCTACTTCAGATGAGGTACATAGTAGAATTTCAAAGGCAATTTTGTTTCAATGTCTTTAGGGGGAATCTGTTCATAAAGGCCCATTATCATGTATTCAGGTAAAATTTTTGAACCAGCATCTATGTTTATTACATATTTTTGATCATTTTTATTTCTTAAATATTTTCAACTTGTCTAATACTTTTACAGTAGTGTACTCTGATTTCCTAGTCTACTTTCAGAAAGTAGCTCTTGGAAGAAGGTTAAAAGTTGAGTATTAGCAATTTTTTATAATGCATTCAAAGAAAAAAAAATATTATTATATTAGCAAATGTATTGGTTGCAGAAATATTAATGATTATAGAAAAAGTAAATGTCTATTAATCTAAGAATTCTAAATTCTGAAGTAGTAATGGATATTAAAGCTAAATATTATGCATACTTTAAATATGTGTGATAAAATATAGTCCAATAACATTTAAATGATTCATATTTTAAAGATGAGATTAATTTCCTATTTGTTTTTCATTTTTATAAATGTCAAAGTATAATGTATTATGAAGAATGAAGAGAATAGAATTTTTGAAATATCCTAGAGCATTCATAATTTTTTTTCAGAGCTGTCTTCCCCCCTAAACAGCTTGGTATTTTTGGAATAAAGCTATAAAAAGAGTATATTCAAGATGTAGGTAAAATGTTGCCTGGGCTCAGGAAGAAAGGGGTATTTGAAAGCTATATGACATGTCTCCCTGGCATTTTTCATCTCCCATTTTTGAACGTGCTTGCATGTCTGTTCATTCATTCCACAGATGTCTGCTCTATGCTGGACACTCTTCTAACGGCTGGAAATATAGTCATGAAAAAAATACTCCGGTCTTTATGTGAGTTTGTAGTCCAGAGGGCAGGCATGTGGTGGAAAGACAAAGGGAAAGCACACACCATGTTAGATAACTGTGGGTACTGAGGAAAACCAATAAATCAGGAAAGTGTGACCAGAGAGGACATCCATGAGAAAGGGACTCCAAGTAAAGACTCAAAAGAAAGAGTGTGCAAGGCAGGTGGTTATCTGAGGAAGGATATTTGAAACTGAGGAAATAGCATGTATAAAAAGCTTAGGCAGAATCACCTTTGGTCTTTGGAGAAACAGAAGGAGGCCAGTGTACCTGGAAGGAGTGAGTTGGTCAGTAAGATTTTCATCTACCTCCTCTCTGTATGTTTTGGAAGACATAGAACCTATGTCTTCCAAAACATACAGAGTTTGTCTAACAATTAACATCTGCCTGCCTTCACTAGTGGTTCCAGGTCCTAGGCAGCTGAAAAAAAAGGCAAAATGTATTCAGGCAAGTGTTTACTTACTTCCTATTCCCCCCCAAAAGTATCATTTCTGACATGAACTAGAATAAAATTAATTGGTCAGTCTATTCTTTGAGTTTGATAGAGAAAGAAGTTTTTAGCTGGGTATAGTTGTGCCCACCTGTACCCCAGCTACTTGAGAGGCTGAGGTGGGGAGAATTACAAGTTCAAGGCCAACCTTGAACTCAGGAGGATCTTGCCTCAAAATAAAAAATAAGAAGGGCTGGAGATGTAGTTTAGTGTTAAAATACCCCAGGGTTTAATCCCCAGCACCACAAGGAAACAAAGCAAAACAAACAGAAGAAAAAACAATAGTTTTTGGAGAAATGAAAATCTGTAATGCCTTGATTAAATTAACTAAAATATTATAAGAAATTTGGAAAGCAAAATACACAAAAAAATTAGAATTGAAATTTTACCAACTCTAATTTTCTAGTAGACTTTTATTGGGATTCTCTAAGGTAGAATGCTTAGTGCTGGTTACTTTTCTCAATTCTAGAGATTTTTAACCAAAGAGCCTAATAATACTGTTTCTTGTATCTATTACTTTTCTCTGAGGGTCTTCCTTAACTTGATCTCAATCTGTTTTCTTCCTTCCTTCCTTCCTTCCTTCCTTCCTTCCTTCCTTCCTTCCTTCCTTCCTTCCTTCCTTCCTTCCTTCCTTCCTTCCTTCCTTTC